CTCGGTCGAAGTTGGACTTACCCAGTCGGACTATTTGTCCCAGGTAAACATACTCGTCAACAACTTCGAGCTTAGTGTTCCCAACAACTATCGGCATAGGTGTGACATGGACATTAAACATGATCTTAGTTTTGTCCATGTTCATCTTAAGACCTATCCGTTGGGAAACACTATTGAGGTCATTGAGCATAGTGCTTAGGTCCTCCAGCGATTCTGCCATAAGGACTATATCGTCGGCAAATCGAAGGTGAGTGATGTACTCGCCATTGATGTTGATACCGTATCCTTTCCAGTCCAGAAGCTTGAAAACGTCTTCCAATGCAGCGGTGAAGAGTTTCGGGGATATGACGTCACCCTGTCTTACACCTCTCTGCAATTGGATAGGTTTCGTACTCTGGTTCTGTACTCGGATAGCCATCGTAGCCCTACTGTACAAGCACTTCAACACTTCGATATACCGACAGTCAACTTGGCACCGCTGAAGGGACTGCAGCACCGCCCAAATTTCGACGGAATCAAAGGCTTTCTCATAGTCCACATACGCCAGACATAGTGGCAAATTGTACTCTTCGGACTTCTGTACAACTTGCCGAAGGGTATGTATGTGGTCTATGGTGCTAAAGCCTTTTCGGAAACCGGCTTGTTCGGGAGGCTGGAAGTCGTCAAGTCTGCGCGCGAGACGATTCGTAATGACTCTCGAAAACAGCACGTAGACGCGGCTCAGAAGGGAAATCGGTCTGTAGTTCTTCAAGAGAGCGTTGTCACCTTTCTTGAAGAACAAGACCACCGCACTTCTGCTCCACGCCTCCGGTGTAATGCCACCATGGAGGACGATTAAAGAGCTTCTGAAGGACTTCAAGTACCGGTTTTCCACCCGCTTTCAGAAGCTCCGCTGTAATTCCATCCTCGCCTGGGGCCTTACCGTTTTTAAGGTGCTGGAGAGCCATCCTAATCTCGCTCAGACTGACATCCGGGATATCTTCGGAATAGTGTCGGATGAGACTCGCTCTTGGATCGTTACTCACACTTGCGTGTGGCTCCAACGATGATGTGTACAGCTGCCCATAGAACCTCTCAATCTCACTCAAAATCTCAGGTGTCCCGGAAACGATGCTGCCACATTCTGTCTTCAGCTTTGACAGTTGGCTCTTTCTGGCAGACAGATCTCTGGCAAAGACTTTGGAGCCTTGGTTCCGCTCGATCGCTTCTTCAATACGAGCTGTATTGAAGTTGCGTAAGTCCCGCCGCATGCATTTGGAGATCTGTCTGTTCAGATGCCTGTATGCTGTCAAGTCTGTTGAAGAATGTAGCTTCATCTCCCGTCTAACAGCCATGAGATTAAGAGTGTGATCGGAGAGTTTTTGTGTTCTTCTGCGGCGGGTCTTGCAGAACTTAGCTCCAACCACATGGACAGTTTCCACGAGCATGTCATTCATATCGTCCACTTCATTGCAGTCTTCTAGGCACTGAAAACGGTTTTGTAACTCGAGCTGAAAGGTTTCGGGACTTTGAAACAGAGCACGAGGGGGACGGAGCGTTGACTTCATTAGACGAGACCTCTCCAACTTAACGTTTAGGTTCAGTGTGCCTCTAACCATTCGGATATATAATCTTAACTTAACCTAATTCCTTAAAAAGTATTATGACAGCCTCGTTGATCTAGTTGGTCGTAAGCGCGACGGCCTCTTGTTCCCGGGTTTGAATCCCAATTTCAGTGTCAGCTTGGAGTCAGAAATTTGGGGGTGCTTCACTCAAGCACCTTAAAAAACACGTAAATCCGTTGGTCGTACGCCTTTTACCTCTTCATTCGTGTTGAATTGCCGTCGCACTATGAAATTGAGTGTATAGAGATTGCACTTGTGTTTGATGACACACTCGTGCACTATAATACTGTCCTGCGCAATTGACTAATCTCCTTTGAGACTTGCTGCCGTGGCCGAAATTCGGTCTGTAGAACATTATTATAAAGGTATTGTACAGCCGTGGTAGCCATAAATTTTAAAGGTCTCCTTTCATCGGTAATAATGTAATTGATAATTGAAATTTTAACGAATTTACCTCAACAGTGAAAACAAATATCGTAAGGATACATTTGTCAGAGGTATATATATTTAGAATTCATGTGAAGTCTGCAAGCACTACGAACACCACGGCAGGCTGATTTCCCAATAACCCTTGTTTATTATTTTCATCGTGTATTTCTCTCATTCCATTATTTTCATTTACACTTACCTTTCTATTACCCACTACTAATGCCGCGCCCGATCACCTTTATTTAAGATTTTAATCTGGTATTATTTGACAAATCGGTGAAGCATGTAAAGTGCACATTTGGGGAAAAAGAACTCATGTTGCCTTTCTTCAGTTGTATTTTTTTATTATTATAATGTAATGACGATGACGAAGTTAGTGACGTTACATAGACTTAGCTTTACCAAAGTCAATTTACTCTGCCTTGAAAACACTCACTTTGTAATCTGATGGGAAAGCATATGCTGGCCAATATTATTTTTTAATTTTTATAGAAAAATGGTGTCAAATAAAACACAATCTACCTGATGGTAAGTGGATACTATGGGCTATAGACATCTACATCTATCCTCGATTGAGCATTAAAAATGCAGACCTTGACACCCTTGAAGATGGAACGCATCGTTTCCAGTAAAAGGACCTCCCATTCTCCTCACACACCGTACAAAAACACAAAAGCATTAAGCTGCTATTTTACGCAAGGATTCTGTGAGAGCGTGGTCCTTCCCCAATCGAGCCGACCAACTAATATTATAATTATAATATAGCTACTTAGCCCTAACTATATTTTTTTATTTTTGTAAACGTTAATGGTACGTGAGGAATAAAATAAATAATAAATTTATTTCTTTGTTTATTTAATTTTTTGTACCTCGTTTAAAACACGGTTCTATTATATGATATTTCGTTTCTATTGAAGAATATAAAAATAACATTAAATGAAATGTTTACAGCGATAAGCTGTATAATATTCACTTGACGTATGCGAACAACGCAATGTACGGAATTCCTAATAAGTTCGAGTGAACTTTCTTGAATTAGAACGTTTTGTTTTGTAAGTAAAACAGTTGTATTGGAAATAAAAACCCATGACTTTCTTTTTTTTAACTTCATTATTAGTCCGTACATAGCTTTGTGTTTACGTTTCCTTTTACTTAATTTTTTAATAAGAATATTTTCAATAAGATAAACGAAATAGCCTAATAAACGTTCTCCTATACATATATCATCATCACGGCCGTTGCTATAACTATTAGTTTAGCATTTTTTATTATGTTATGGTACTGCAAATTAGCACACAGCGTGAATAAATGAAACATTTTCGGATTGTTTCCTTTATTAATGTTATGTATATATTATACGGTGTGATCTTGCTTTGCACGCACGCACGCTTGCACGCACTTGTTCAATTTATAGGTATTAATAATAATGTCCGCTTTCGCTAATTTTGGTAACGGCGTCCAGTCTCAACGAAGACAAGCCATCTGCTCAGGACTATAAAGGATAACTAATTTAGTCCCGATCCGGGATTCAATTACGATCAGCAAATTTGTTTACTACAGTACAGCATTATAGTACCCAAGTATATGCGCAAACACAGCTACACTCTTAATTCCTTCACACTCGTGTACCGATTGGGCGGTAATCCGACACGACCGGAGAGAGATTATGTGAAGTACTAATGGCTTTACTTGCATTCCGAGGCACGCGGTTGAAACTCTTCCAACTTCCTGACTCGGGTTGCTACTTAGGATTTCTTGACAGAAAAACTCGATAACTGATATTGGCCCGATCCAGGATCGACGGAACAAACATACAGACAGACTGTTTTTTGACATTACAAACAGACACCTTAATTTTATTTTTTTATATAGATGGGCGAAATCAAGAGCATGTATGCGTACGTATATGAATGTAAAGGAAGCGAAAGAGGTGTGTCAGGATTGTGACAAATTAACTCCATAATCTCTGCCTAACCTCTGGCTACTCTGTGTAACATGCGTGAGTGTCTTTGTTTTTATGCTTTATTATTTATGCTACAAAGAGTTATAAATTATCCTTATTACCGTCGAACTTAATTAAGGGTACTACACTAATTTTAGTTTCATTTGAAAGTTGAAGTAATCATAGTGTAATGTAGCTTTATTGCTGCAGCAATTGAGACTAACTCGTTCTATATGAATATGGTTAATTAATTTTAAAGATTAACTGAACCTTAAAATTCCTGTGGGTAGTAACAACATATTCGGGTTCGCTTTTAAATCGTTAAAATGTCTTGATCCGTTTTTATTTTTTTCTGTTCTTAAGTAATCCTTGCTGATTTTAAAAATAGAAAATGTACATGCAGCATTACCGGTTTCTTTACTCATGTGATATTAATACTTGACTTAGCTAAAATGACCTGGTATGAGACAACACATAATTATGCACCGGACTATTTTATACAAAAATTAAGGAAATTATTATTATTTATTATCATTCATGATATTAGGTCATCCATAATGCATTCCGTTGTATTCATAGAACAGAAATATTGTAATGTAATGTGTTATATATATATATATAACACATTACATATATATCTATCTTAAATTAATTAAATAATAATAAACTTACAGTGGTCGCGCGGATTATAATCCACTCTTAAATAATATCAAATTTTATAATAGTCACTTAAGCAAATCTTTTGACACGTCAAATATATAAAGTTGAATATTAGAAGGACGTGCTCAATGCAGCACGTGCACCGTGTGTGGTTTTACTTCAAGAGTGCCCTTCACGGATTACTAGAGTAATCCGCGCGACCCATTATGTGAGTATTTTTGTGCAACAATATTTTATTGTTTTCTTTATTATTAGTTATTATAATTTATTTTTAGTAACGATTAGTGACTTATATTCATATATTTATGATTTATTTTTTTAATTATAACTTTTCCTTATAATGTAAATATATTTTAAGATAAAACATGGATAAAAAAGATACGGCTCAACTCGAAGCTTGGCTTCATGAAGAAGGCAACAATAGCGAAATGTTTGAAGATGACGAAGGTCGAACGATGACGAAGACATTCTTCTCCAATTCACAGGACCACCAATGTGAATTGGAGAATGAAGAAGAGGTTCTAAATGAGGTGTTTGAATCCACGTAAGCAGAAGATAAAACGAATAATACAAATAAACGAACGAATATCATACTGGTTATGAAAATACTCGCTGGTCGACGTCTGTACCAATGAATAGAGGACTCGAGGCCATAATGTTGCCTTTTTAAATTAAAGGAGGGTCTTGTATGCATTATGTATATACACAGAAAACAAAGATTATGAAAAGATAATTTGCCTCGATTTTCATATTTCCCTCTCCTGGACATGGATGAAACATAGAGCATACAAATGATCAGAACTAAAGCCATTACGACAAAGCTTGGCATTCAAAATTAAACGTTTTTGATTTATTTCCTAAGTCCATATTCAGCGTGAGTCACTGCTACGACTGTTGAAGATCGCGCAATAAAAGTACACACCGATAGTGCACGGTAGTAAATTCGTTTGACCAGATAATTCCTAGTACATATTATATTCATATGGTTTAAAAACAAATGATTGGATTTGTAATAAGTATGTAAACTGGTTTGTTATCTCACTTCGAAATTATTATGAACTATATAATATGTAATCCACGCGACAACTAACGTGATTTTTTAAGGTGCGACAACTGCAGGGTTAATTATTTTAGTTTAAATTTTGATGTGGTTGTATAAGATTTAGTGTGTGACTTTAAGTCCCGTTTTTAATATTGTTACGTGCGAGGTGAGTAAAGATGGCGATTAGGATGAGAACTAGATGAATTCTTTCACACACTCAACTAGTGTACAATCGCGTCGTCCTAAATCGCTAAAATTCTTTAGTGAGATCCTTAATAACAGCAGATGTAGTAGGTTGATTGTTCGTTTACGCTTCCCGAAGTAGATACCAATCTAGTCCTCAAGGGTTACAACACATCTACATTTTGATTCTTGATCAATGATAAATGAAGGTGTCTATGGGTCAAAACAACCACTTACCATCAGGTGGACAGTGTGCGCGCTTGTCACACTTATTTCTATAAAATACGCTTATCATGAATCTTTTAAATCTTTCTGCTTTGCATAAACTTACAGGTTTAATTTGAGGAGAATATTTGAAAAATTTTAGCCCGCAATGCTTTATTGAGTTTTTATTACACTTTTTCATAAGGGAGTGGCGCTCTGCAGTGGACGTATTGCGATATAGTAAGAAAACGTCTGTTTTATTTCTTGTGGTCTTTGTGTAATGTATTCGTTATTACGAGTATTAAAATATAATCTTTTAATTTACCTGTGTGCTGTCACGTCACAACAAGTGCCAAGTGTGACTGTGTAAGTCACACTTGGCACTTGTTGTGAGAAAAATAAGGGTAAAAAAATTATATTTAGTAAAATATAGTATCATATTATAATCATAAGCGCTCAAGCCTGTTATCCAGAAGGCTAGGTAGAGACTACTGACTTCCATTTGGTACAATATTGATACAACTCTCTTGCCTCTTTTACATCCATATACGTACGCATACATGCATGTCGGATAAGGGTATTCTTTATCTGGCCAATCTTCAGTATCTCACCAGTCTGGTCGACAAACTTTCGTTTAGGACGCCCCTTCCCGAATCTGCCATTCACTTTATATGATGTAATATGATTATAATAACAAGGGGACGCTTTGGCGATTAGATCAGATATAGCGAAGACCTTCGATCGAGTCTGGCACAAAGCCCTTCTTTTCAAGCTACCTTACAATGGGCTTTCCGAGAAATTGTGCAATTGGATCACCAACTTTCTGGCTGATCGGTGCGTCAAGGTCGTAGTAGACAGTGCATGCTCCAATTACGAGTACAAGGCTACGTGCAATCACCATCGCCGTTTCCTTTGAAAATCAATGGTACGAGTATGTTACAAACCAGTAACATTCATTGCTATGCAGACGACAGCACTGGTGATATTATATGCAGCGGCGGTGCAAATATTTCTCGGAAAACGTCGCAGAGTACCGGAACAAACTTGTGTCTGAAGTCGAGACTTTGTTGAACAAAGTCTGGAACTGGGGCGGCTAAATCTAGTCCAGTTCAATCGTCAGAAACAAAAGATTGCGCGTATACCGCTTAAAATGACCCCTTTGTCGTATTTCCTCAGTTTTAAGGCACCTCCCTTGTTGCCTCAGCCATTATCGGAATCCTCGGCGCCGACATATCGAATGACGTGCAGTTCCGAGGTCACTTAGAAGAGAAGGCCAATTTGACCTCTAAAAAGCTTGGCGTGCTCAGCAGAGCGGGTCAGTATTTAATGCCGGCGCACCACCTGGAACTTTACAAGGTACAGGTTCGGCCGCACATGGAATACTATTCCCATCTCTGAGCTAGGGCTCTCCAGTGCCAGTTCCTTCCATTTGATTGCATCCAGGTAATGCATTCTATCGTATCTACCACGGTGAGTGCTCAGAGGAATTGTTCGGACTAATTCCAGTCGCTCAACATTACCATCGCACATTGCGACAGAATTTGAAATACCATCCGTACCATCTGGATGATTGACGGTCCACTACTGTCGGATTTAGAAGAAGTCTTCTTCCTCGCACAACTCCCTAGTGGAATCGAATACCGACGGAAATTTTTCCGGACAGATACGACTTCAAGAAAAAAGCATATTTTTTTTAAAAAGGCTGGCAACGTATTTGAAATTTCCCTGGTGTTGCAGTTGTTCATGGGCGACGGTTGTCACTTACCATCAGGTGAGTCGTATACCCTTTTGCGCCTTCTCATATAAAAAAAATATTGAGGCCACGGCTGACTCAAGAAAAAGGAGTTACTGCAGTAAAATAAGTTGTAAACATAAAAGGAATGAAGCCGATGCGAAATAATTGTGGAAGTTACAATTGTTGTTTTCATTACTAATATTTTTTTTTTATTTTTTAAAAAACGTTACCCCCACACAAGGATTTTCTCCTGTATCGTGGAGGCAGTTTACAAACACAAATTTCACAAGGACAAACATCCAGACCCGGAACAATCATTTATAGGCCATACAAATACTTGTTCCGTGCGGGATTCGAACCCGCGCCCCCCAGCGCAGCAACTGCCGCTAAGCCACTGCGCCACGGAGCCGTCGATATTCCGGTTAAACACTCTAGGTAAGGCTTCAAATAATTTTCAAATGACTTTCAAAAAGTGCTTTATATAAGCAAATTTTAACAAAATATTTGACCTGAACTTTAACTTGGAAAAGACTTATTAAAAGTATGTAAATAAAACTCTCTTCCTTTTATTTCACTAATTCAAAAGATATTAGAATTATTTACATTCAAATAATAGGCGGCCTAAGTCATTTGATCATAGGAGTCTTAAGGAATATAAGATCCTTAAGACTCCTATGATCAAATGACTTAGGCCGCCTTTCGAGGTAAGCTGTTCCCGTCTTGCTAGACTAATTAAAAAAAAAATCTTAAAAAACAAACTTTGTCAAGTGTGGGGTTCGAACCCACGCTCCCTCTCGGGAAGCAGAGTTTAAATCTGGCGCCATAGACCACTCAGCCAACTTGACTCGAGATATTATGATTTTAATTGTGGTATGATATCGAGATCACTGGTTTTAACTCTAGTGAAATATTGCTAACTAGGGATACGCCCTGGCTTTATCTGGGTAATGTAACGTTTTCTATATTTAAGATAATCAACGACCATTCATTTTATCAATTATATCAACTAAAGCGGTTTTTAATAATTTCCATATTTTTCGGATAAAATATGGCCTTTATCACTCCTGGCTTTGCTCTCTGCCTGTTCGGGAAGTTTTATTACAATAAGTTCAGCCATTCTGAATATTAGGCAAAGTTTTATATGTGACAGTAATTTCGATATGACAGCAGACACATTTATTTTAATAATACTCGTATGTATATCATCATTAGGTTAATCAGGTTAACAAAATTTTGTGTTTAGTAAAGTCTCATTGCCGTTGGAGCTCGGGGGTTGAGCTTTCGCCTTCGATTCCAGGTGCAATCCCCAACAGCACCGATGAAACAATTAACTTACAGTAGGTGGCACGCGTATCGTATCGACAAATTTATTTAAGATTAAGAATCAAAAAGCAGATACGCCTTGTCAACACTGTGGACGAAGGCGGAATGCTTCCTTACACTCTTCACTCACTATACAAAAACAGCAGCAGTGAGCTGCTTTTTTACGCTGGTATTCTGTGAGACCGTGGACTATCCTCAATCGAGCCGACCCATTCGTGCTACAACCATAATATAGCTACAGCATGGCTCTACCACGTAAGTAGACCGGTTTTTTATAACATTCAAGTGTAACCATCTTAAAACAAAGAAGGCTACGGCTGCGTTACTCACCTCCGTATTTTATTTGATTTTCTTTGTGGTTTGGTCACAAAATGGATTCACATCTATTTTCCCCCACTGAGTTCATTGAGTGGAGCAAACGTAGTGTGTGGTAATTATAATATTCCATTTAAGACGCAACTCAGAGCTGTTATTCCAGTTATTGCAGTGAGGCAATGTTGTAGCTCATTATTTGGATTTAGTATTAAACATATCAGACTGTCATACTCTATTCAAGGGTTAGGAAGGGAACGGAAGACTGGGTCGGGATATGATGAAGATTCACACGATATATCATCATCACTTTTCAAAACTCCACTGCTGAACATAGAACTCCACCGAGGAATGCCACAAAGCACGGCTCTGAGCCACCTGCTATCATCGACTTCTGTATGTCTTACCAGGTCGACACTCCATCTAGTGGGGGGTTGCCTTAGATTTCGCTTATCGGTACTACGCTGCCAAACGCTTTATATGGTAAGTTTATTTAGTAAGCGAATTCTATGGTACTTTAGAATCAAGTCAAATACTGAATAAGTATAAAACCGACTGCCTGGTTGGTCTGATGGTTGTTTGCGTGACTACTGATCATTAAGGCCCGGGTTTGAATGCCAAGACGGGCCTACTTCAGTTATTGATTTCATCTGTCAAGAAATTTGCAGTAGCAACTCGGGAGTCAGGAAGTTGGTAGTGTTTTACCCCCGTGTCTCGGAAAGTAGGTAAAG